GGTCACTGCGTTCCCGCTACTCCGCGCCTCTCCACTCCTCCTGAGGACTACCAGCAACTTCGCCTTCACCTCCTGCATCTCGTGCTCGTGCTCGCCGTCCAAAACCACGTTGGGAGCACCGCAGTCGCCGACCGCCGTCGCCTCCGACCGCCGGTGCACATGGCCGGTCCACCTCAGGCCACCTCTCGGCCATCCGTGACCACCAGCGGGCGCGCGCGGGACCCCTGGTGCTCCCCCGCCCCTCATCCGCCGACGGCATGGCCTCCTACGGCCGGAGCAGCGAGCTCCGACGGCCTCCCCTGCTCAAAATCCCGTCAGGGACCTCCTACTAGAATTCGACGAAGTTCAGGGTCCTAACTGCGAAGTCAGTGACTCATGTGAATAGTACCGTAAGGACTGGTTTGTAATTATTTTGCAGGAACTTTAGAAATTCATAGTAATTCATAGGAAATTCGTAAAATAGCAAATGAGGACTTTTTGGAATCCTTGTGAAATTGTCTATGCAGTGGATCTATAATATGGCATGTTTTAGTTTAAATATTTTGCGGTAAAAATAGATTTGTGCAGGAAGGTTGTAATGCTAGTTGAATTTGTTATTTTTCATAACTGTAGATCTAGGGCTCCAAATGAAGTGAAATTTTTGTGGCATGCTACTCATGTGATAGTTGATGTGTGGTAAAAATTTCATGAGTATTGGATGAAGTATGAGTGAGTTATTGGTTTATCTTGCTCTCATATGAATTCTTGCTTTAGCAACTTGTCTTTTTCATAGAGGTTGCTATACATATTCAAATGGAGTGAAATTTGTACAGTAGACTATTGAGAGGATATGTGAGCCACTGTAATTTTTAGAATTTATTGTATACTTTTGGTATATGTTCATTAAGTCACCTTGTTATCTAAAATAAATTAAGAAATGCATTAAAAGAATTTATTTGGTCATAGACACTAGGTTTTCTGGTGTTCTTTAGTCATGTGTGAAATGTTGGTAAAGTTGGTTTTGCCCAATTATGCATTTGCAACATAAGTTAATAATTATTTTCTTGCCGATGTGGTTTATGGACAGATCTGGGAACTTGGCAAAGTTCTTCATGATAATGTGCTTTGTTGTGAAACTTGTTTATACAAAAGTTGTAGATAATTCATGTATCTAGCTTCTATTAAAATTTGGTGTCATTTGGCCAAGTAGTTTAAGAGTTATAGCTGTTTAAAGTTGGGTTTCAGGAATGACTGCTTTCTGTCAATTGTAGACCAGTTTCTGTAAATGAGTATATTTGACTTAGTTAACTTGAGAATCATGCTAAGATGATTAAAGATAAATTGTAGAAAATTTCATAAGCTTTCCATAATGTCTTCTTGCAAGTCATTTGGATTTGTGTAACTCCAGTTATAGCTAAATCTTGTAGCTGCTGTTTGCATGTCCAGAAATTGGCAGATTCTAATTATGGTGCTTGCTTGTATATTGTTAAGTGTGACGTATGCCTTGAATGATGACTGAGTTAGAGCACTTGAGATCTGGGGAAACTTGTGTCATGATTGGTGTTGTCGTCTTCTTTGCCATCTTAGCATGATAGATTGTGTGATGTTTAAGTTAAGCTCATAAAGTACTTAAGTGTGTTAGTGTAAACTATGCTTGTCTTGCTTGCTATTTTGTGATGTGTCTCATGGTACTATTCTTCATATTTATGCACTTGCATATTGCATCTCATCTAGGTATGCTAGATGAACCACGTGAAGGACGTGATGTTGGAGCCAAACCCGAAGACAATGTTTGATGGATCTATCCCGAAGATGGAAGGACTAAGCAAGTGTTAGGATCTGAGATGTCACCAGGGGTGGTGCAAGCTAACTGAACTGACTTGTGGCGGATCCTGCAAGCCCTTGGAGCATTATAAGTCTCCTAATTTATAAAAACAATTCTTTCTATATATGAGTTATATATTGTTGCATTAAGTTGTAGGAGTTGATTGAAACCGTTGATGCATTTATTACTATCCTTGCCTTCATCAGATTACCCTTTTACCCTGTTAGGTCAAGATCGAATAATTGCTTAGCCTTGCTTAGACCGGTAGCGATCGGTGATATCCGATCACCTACATTTATAGGTGGTTACTGGAAGAATTTAGCTATGGAAAGAATGATATCCTGGAATTAACCATGTGTGATGGATAATTGGAGACCGGACGGAAAAGTTGGAGGCAACCGCATGTGGTTCGGGGTGCTTTAGTTTCCGTCAGGTCGATTAAGGACCGACCGTTGTTGGCCCTCGAGTCATGTTGAACGCATGCCTTACATTTAGCTGGCCGGATAAAGTACCTTCCGACCGCTGAAGCCGGGAGATTTTTCGGGCGAGTAGATTGCCCAGCAGGCAAGACCGTGTTAGGAGCAGTGTGTGGTAGGACACGGGGCGGGATGATAAGACCAAAGTGCGATCGGTCGGCCCCGGTACATGTGGTTCTGGCAAACTCGAGATACCGAAAAGTTGACTCGGTGATCAATATCTCACTTTAGCGGGTGAGTGAGGTTTGTGTAAGGAATAAATCACCACCGGTTAGAATCGATTCAATCGCCATCGCTCCCGGATAGTGAGCACTTGACTCGAAAGTTATCGCATCATAGTAATTATTATGGAACAATGATGGTTATCTGGATGGTATGGGATATGCTAAATCTAAATTGGTAACTGGATGTTATTGGTTAATCAAGTGATTGCTATAGTACAAAAAGCTTACCTAGATGGATAGGTCATAATAAAGATGATGCAAAGTACTTAAAATGGTTTCTTCATGATAGCTTATGCTTTTCGCAAATAAGTCAGCTAGCCCACTAAAGAAAGCCTTGCATAATCCTTGGTGTCACTTTATTTCGGTTTACTGACGGGTAAGTCCGGCCGAGTACATTCGAGTACTCGTGGTTTATCCCACCTTGTTGCGTGTGAAGTTCTCGACTTTGTTGATGATGGTGGCTAACCACCGGTGGGCTCTTGTGATTCTATATTTACTTCTCATCTATATGCTTTTATCGGATGATGTCACTTATGCTAGCAATATATTTGGAACTTATATTAATGTAATCATTTGAAAGCTATGTTGTTTTCACTAAGCGGTTTTGAAACCCAAATTTGTACTATTATTTGTTAAACCCTTTGTAACATTATTTCCGCTGCAACCCGATGTATGTGATGTGTATTTGCTTAATCACGCGATCTTGGTTGTGATGTTGATTTACCGAGGTCTTTCGGGACACTCGGCGGACTACCGGGTTTATATGAGTGAAAGTATGGGTGTGTCAACGTGTTAGCGGGGACAACCATACTTGATCTTGTATAAATTGGGCGGTTCTGTCACAACCCCCGACCCTGTGCCGCTTGCTCGCTCCCGTGTCGTCGCGCGCCCCACCTGCGCCGCTCGCTCCTCGCTCCTCTCCCCCGCCCGTCGTGTGCCCCATCCGCACCTCGCTCCTCGCTTCAGCCGTACGCCACACCTCCCGCTCCCTCTTGTAGCGCGCGTCGCCCGCCAGGGAGCCAAGGCCGGTGCTATTGGTGCTGAATGGTGGCGGTGCTCGCGCGCCGTCGCTCTCCGCCGGATCCCACCCCGATGCCCGAAATCGACCGGCCCCAGCCTTCCCCTCCCCTATGTTGCAAATGTATGTTTCAGAAGTTTCAGAGGTATGTTGCAATTGTTTACTATGGATGTTGCAAAAGTAGATCGGGATGATGCACATGTTGCATATTTTTGCAAGTGTTTTAAGTGTGATGTTGCAACAAGTGTTTTATCTGAATGTTGTGTATGTTTCACACACATGTTGTAAGTGTTTTATTGGGATGTTGCATATGTTTCACACATATGTTACAAGTGTTTTATCTGGATGTTGCAGATGTTTCACACATATGTTGCAACAGTATGTTTCAAATGTTTCATCTATGTCCGACGTATGTTGCATCCAAGTGTTTCATGTTGCAATTGTTTACGGGGCCACAGTGAGTGATGGGCGCACGGCCCTGGGGGGGATGGGGCGTGACAGAGTTGGGGACCTGTGGAGGGGGCGTAGTGAGCTAGGGGCTGGCTCCTGAGTTCCGCCCACGCGGAGAGAGAGAAGGGGGTCCGAGGGAAGGGACGGGGCGCAGCGATGGGGGGCAGGGTGCGCGTGCGAGGCGGAAGGGCACGGACTGTGCGGCCATCCATCCGGACACAAGGAGCAGCGGGCGTAGGTCGCCAGCGATCCCCACGGACACGGGGCCCAGGTGGGGATGTGAAAGTAGGCACGGGTGGGGTTGGGGGGCGGAGTGCAGGCACACGCCGAGGAAACGAACCAGCTCGATCTACAGTACCGTCCGACGGATCAATCCAATTGTACGTCCGAACGCTAGCAATTCCGTTTTCACAAACATGGCTAAAGTACATGGAGGAAGAGGAAGACCGAAACAGTAGTTCACAGCTCAATTGAGTTGCAGTTCGTGGCGCTGAACCATCCTCTTCGCGGCACCGGATGAGCAAACCATCGAAATGCCGCCACGAGGAGTTCTCATCATCTGGCACCTGAATTCTGAGGCCTCGGTGGTATCGACGCGTCACCCGGTTCTAGCATGAGGATCAGGCTGGGGGAAGCAGCCGAAATAGATGTACAGCACCTTCCTTCTTCGTCGAACGTCCTCAGCGCTTGGCGCTTGCAGACTTGCAGTAGGCCCTGACCGTCGAAGTCGATGACAAGGCGCACGGACGGTGGCTAATGGGAGAGGATGCCGACGGCTTCAACTTTGGCACGAACACACAACAAAAGCTCTTGGCATGGTGGCACGAACACACAACACAATGAGACATCACTTGAGCAGTACTCAATGTGCTCTTGAGCAGTACAGGCAACAACTAGGATAGGATACAATAATCTGGGAGTTGAGTACAAGTGCGTCGCTACATGTTCTTGATGTGACTCGCGCGTCGCTGTCGCTTGCAGCAATTCCGGTCGTACCGGGCAACCAGCGCACCACGCGGCGCGCGCGCCTAGAGCCGCGGCCGCACACCCGCCGGCGCCGGCCCGGCGCCGTGGTCCTTGACCTGGCCCCAGAGCTGGGGCCACGCGGCCTTCCTGATCTCGGCGACGGCCTCCCCGTCCCACCCTCTGGCGGCCAGCCTCTCGGCCTCGGCGACAGCAGCGGCCACCACGTCCTCGGGGCCGCCGTCGATGGCGGCGTCCACGAGGCCCCGGCGCACGGCCTCGGGCGCGGCCACCCGGTCCCCGCGCAGCACCAGGTCGCGCCTGGCCGCGGCGTCGGGGACCTTGTCCCGGAGCACGGCGGCGACGAAGTCGACGAACTTGATGCCGACGTCGACCTCGCTCATGTACAGGAACCCGCGGGAGCCGCGCATGAGCACGGCGTCGTGCACCAGCGCCAGCGCGCACCCGGCCGCCGCCGCGTGGCCCGTCACCGCCGCCACCGTGGGCATGCGCAGCGCCAGGAGGTCGGCCACCAGCGCGCGGAGCCCGCCGTCCATGGTGCCGTGGAGGTGGGGCGGCGCCGTGCGCGCCCACGCCTGGTCGAACCCGTTGGAGAAGAACTTCCCCTCCGCGGCGAGCACCAGCGCGCCCGCGCCTGCGGAGGCGGCCACGGCAGAGCGGAGGGCCGCGAGGAGGTCCGGGTTCAGGCGGTGCTCGCCGGCGCCGGTGATGGTGATGAGGTGCACGCGGCCGCGCCTCTCGACGGTGCACAGGTCCTTGTTGCTCTCCATTGGTGGGTGATTTGGGGGTGCAGCAGCCGTGACAAGGCAGGAGACTGTGTGTTCCGATAAGTCTATATGCTGTTTGCTTTTATGCCTTTGGGATCGGTTCTTTTTTAACTCGCTTTTTAAGAGGCCGTCTACTTCGCAACTATGTATTTTACGTAATTCTAGCATATAAATTTTTTTACTCCGTAAGATTAAAATCCCAACAGTTTTTATCTTTCTTCTATCTTCAATAATTTTATATCTTTAGACAATCATAAGATCATAAATCATATAAAATAATTTTATTTTATAAAAAACAAATCACAGTTCCGCCGCAGCAACAACCGTATGTCGCGGTCGCTGCAGGTAGCCGCCGGCGGCGCCCAGGCTGACATCCATGAATGACGCCGTGCATGTAGGCTGGTCCCCTCGTGGGATCCCCGCTCAGGATCCTCTGTAGCCACGATGGACCGGCGTTTCTCCTGTGGGGGACTGTAGCCACAGAGTAGTCTGCTGCACTGGATCCAAGGGCGCATGCAAGCGCGGTCTCCAACACGGCACAGCGTCAGACTCCACTAGCATGAGGACGCACGAGATCAGACCGACGGCCAAAGGATCTGATGGCTGGAAAAATCGAGTGACGGATGCCTAGATATCACTCGGGTGAAATCCATCTATTTTTTTTCTTCTAAAACACACGTGTATTATATATCATTTCTATTTTTTTTAATCGATCAGAATTTGAGACAAGCGTCCAATGTGATGCATATGGGCTATGGCAGCTAACTTTCCACGTGAGACGCCCTCAAGAAAAAAAAAACATTCTATGTGAGACGAGGAGATGGATGATAAAACTAAACAAAGATGTTCTTAAATCTTTATATTTAGCTAGTTCGTTGGTTGATTTCTGGACTGATAAGCCCGACTGATGCTAATTTATTATAAAGTAAAACACTATTAACTAACTGATAAGTCCTAACTGAAACCAACAAACAAACATGCTGATTATCTACCGTGGAGTGGATTATGAGGATTTAAAACCTTGAGCGATAAGACTACCCACAGTGTGACTTTTTAAACTGAAGATTGTTCAGCTACCATTATAAAACCGACTTATAAGTCATGTTACATAAATCAGCCGTACAAATAAACATAAACGGTTTTTTGAGCAGCCGAATAAAGCCTGATGCTCAAACGTTCTCTCTCCTAACCGGGCATCGATTTGCACTATGTGTGAGACGATGCTGAATAAAAAAACTAGCAGCCTAGCACCGATGATTCTACTATTTGCTTTTATGCCTCTGGGATCAGTTCTTTTTAGCTATAATTAAAAATCAGTTTCTTAAAAGAGTTTGAGACGAGCTCTCTATGTGATGCATATGGCGACTAGAGGGTGTGTTTGATTTGAAGAATGAGTGGTCCATCATTTTCTCGCTCCTCACTTTTTGTATTTAGTTTATGGATGGAATGAGTTGATTTATCATCACCTCATTACTCATAGGCTAATAATTAGTATATGCATGAGGAATGAGTTGGTTTCACCAAAGTTTATGTGATGAACTCATGATGCACCTTACAATGCATGGAGTGACTCCACGAAACCAAACACACCCTGACTTCCTTTCCAAGCGAGACAACGAGATGGACGATAAAACTGAAGAAAGATGCCTCTCTCTCTTCCCCCTAAGGCCTCTTTTTGAAACTCAATGATTCTCACACAAAAAATCCCATTAAAATCTATGACTTTTTCTAAAGTAGGAAATCCATGTGGATATTATTTGAACAACCCATTTAGTATTTCGTATAGAGACAGTATAACTGGATAACTTGTTCGCAGGCCCCCACATCGCTCCCAAAGGGGCGACTAGGGCGGCGGCACTCCCGTCCCTGGCCAGCTCCCTCCCGCGGTGCCCTCTGCCTTGCCGCCACCGGAGTAGCCGGCTAGAACCAGGTGGCCACGAGGAGGGCAGCGGCGGGGCCTTCTCTGTCGGTGTTGCGGGATTTGTCGGAGCAGCACGGCGTCGGCGTAATGGGGCGAGGTGGCGGGCTCTCGGAGCGGTAGGGGTGCTGCTCCAGCTCTCCAGCGGCCATAGGGATGGTGGTGGAGCTCCGACGGGAGGATCCAGTTCTCCCCCGGCCGATATGTGAGGGGCGGTCGGATCTGGTGTGGGTGGACAACGGGCGCTGAGGGCGGCGACAGCGGCACCCTGGCGGCTGGATCCGACACTCCTGGGGCCGGATCCAATGCTTTTGAGGTGGCAGTGGCATGTGGCGCCGACGTTGGAGTCGGGCTTCGGGGATGACGGTGGCTTGCTACAGGCATGGTAGTTTGGTTGCTAGCAGCGGATTGTGGCGCCTAGACCTACTTGATAGTGGCTAGTGCGGTGCAGGACAACATCGGTTGACTGCACTAGCGCCAATGGTGACATGTCTGCAATCTGCAAGACCAGTGCGGCGTCTTCGTGGTGATGGCATTGCCGATGACCAATTTTGGAGATGGATGGAAGTTCGGTGGTGGCGTCTTCGACGCACACATGTTGCGGCCGTCAGGTACCTTCATGAGACATTTTGCTAGGGTTGGCGACTTCAGGTTGGCTGTGGTTATCTTTAACCGGCGTCACAGTGGCTGGCCATGCATGCCAGTGGTCGGTTCTTTACATCTGCGACAACTTGCAGAAGGCAACTCTCGGCAGACAAGAACACGAAAACGGTGCTTTGGCATCTTATGTGTGGCGTCACAAGAATGTCTTGGCTCATGCAGCAACATGGTGTGGTGACCCAAGATGTTTTGGTGCTTGGCGAGATGGCAGCAGCTGTGAGGCTGGCGCCACACTATCGAATCACGCTTGTCGTGACTCGGTCATTGTGGCTGCGACATCTCATTGGTGGCGGCTCACTTCGGTTACATCCATGCTTTGGGCTTGTGGTTTGGGGTGGGGCATCTGGAGAAATCCTTGCTCGGCTATGCTGATGCTGAAAATGACAACGCCTGTGGATGTCGTGGACCTCGGTGGAGGCATTGTCATGTACCCTCACCCCATTCCCGCCTCTACCCTGGGGTTCTTTTCCTGGTTGAAAAACTCGTTCTGATATTCCGGTTGGCTTTGTCGACGTCTGCGGATGTTGTTTTCTCCATGGAGGCATCGCTTAGTGAACCCCTTGGTGGTTGTTGTTGCAATAGGCAGGGTGGCCTTTGGTTTTGCGGGCAACTTTGATTGTGGTGGTTTGTCATGCTATTGCTAGAGTCATGTGTTGGTTTTCGGTGGTGGTGTTGTACAATGTATGTGTCGAGGACCTAATACCGGGGGTACCCAATGAGGTGGAACTAATAACCATCGAACGTTGACACTTCTGGTCAGACAAGAACACTACTGCGCTTCTTGCCCAAATGACAGAAGATTGGTTCCGCCTCGCCCGACCCCCGAAGACTAGGCTCCGCCTCGCCCGATGGCTGAGGGTGGGCTCCGCCTCACCCGACGTCCAAGGGCAAGGCTCCACCTCGTCCGACGTTCGAGAGCAGGCTTCACCTCGCTCGACCCCCGAGGACTAGGTTCTGTCTCGCCCAATGGCTAAGGGTGGGCTCCGCCTCGCCCGATGACTAAGGGCTAGACTTCACCTCCCCCGACGCCTGAGGGCGGGCTTGACCTCGCCCGACGACTGAGGGCTAGCTCCGCCTCGCCCGACGACTACACCCTGATACTTCATGAAGATGAGCATAGGGTACGACAGGACATTTGAGTCAACCGTAGCATCGAGGGCCATGCCCTATGCGCGCCTGCAGGAAGGTACCGTCAGGATATGATGGGACGGGCGCTTTAAGCCCTTTCCAACATAACAGTGCCTGAATAGTGTTGTAGGCGTCGACTTTTGTCCCACAGTGTAGTAGGCGCCGCCTTCAGCCCTCGGGCACGGATACTAACACAGGGATACGACAACCGCTATAATCCAAGGAAGAACTCACATCATCTACAGTGATAGACGTATAGTCATTTCCCCGTCTACCCCCCGCAGAGTCACGGCTCGGTGCCCTGACACCCCACACCGTCTGCCGGGGGAGGACGGGATGTAACCACTCACCAAAGCAAGGCCAGGGCATGGCCCTCTCAGGGTCAGCGGACACGCTATCCCTGCCATAGTCTGCCATGACAGTGGAACAGGCTCAAGGGAAAAGAAAAGCTTGGCACCTCCAAAGGACGACGACTACCATAGGTTTTTTCCTCTTTCTCCTAGCTGTAAACTCCTGGCTCCCCCTTGGTCTATAAAAGGGAGGGCAGGACACCCCACGAAAGGGAGATCAGTTCGACAGACACAACACATCACTCATACATCCAAGTAGCGACCAAGCTCTTGGCATCCTTTCGACCATTCCATCAGAGACTTGGGACCTCTCCATCTCTCGACCGTTTGTACCCCCTACTACGAACCCTTTTCGGCACTGATAACATGAGCGGCAGCAGACTAGACGTAGGGACATTCAGCCCAAATCAGTATAAACCCTGTGTCCTTTAGTGCACCATCCGGGCCTAACGCGCAATAATTATAAATTTACTAGCCGGTGTTTGTTCGAAACACCGATAGTTGGCGCGCTAGGTAGGGGCCGTTACGCGTTCCAAATCAGGCCTCGGATGGCTAGCCACGCAATCAGCTGGGTCCCGGGCGCACATGTGCATTTTGGTGACCTGGACTTCATCGTCACGGTAGGAGGAGAGTTAGCGCTAGCCCACGCCGCCATCCAGTCTCTCCCCTGCGGCAGTTTCAGCTACGGGAGGCTTGAGCGACAGCCCGGCGTCACCCTCGGACCCCAGCCGTCCGGGGAGGACCCGTGCCGCATCACCCTCTCTCTAGAACACTCCGCACGAAATGCCCCGATGGCTCTTCCGCTCGGTTTCTGCAACGCCGCGGCGACCGTTGGCCACCTTGTGGCACGGCGCAAGATCCCATCCCCCGCGAACAACGAGTTCGTGGGGATGATCGAAAGCGTCACAGAATCTATCCACGGCCTCCTCACGGAAGGTCTGGGGTCA